ATCATATAGCCGGACGGCGTGGACCAATCAGAGGCCCGGATACCCGTGCTGTTATTTCCCGATAACAGCACATGTGGTGTTATGGCGGAATAACAGCACATGTCGTGTTATGGCTGATACCATTATGTTATAGGGTATAGGGGCATGCGACTCTTTCTGTAAACCTTTGTAGCATTTTTCTGTCCAATAAACTTTTTTGTTTAGCTTCATTTAAACTACAATTTGCATTAAATGAAATTATCCATCATGATATTTGTTTTAAAGCGTATAATATATTCGAATGTATTTTTATGTATGTATATATATTAAAGCTGTTGTATTTCAAACAGGAATTGTGTTGATTGACAGTTTGGATAGGCTATATGATAATAATTTTAATGCACTGCCTTTTCCTCGTTGTATATGGTGTCATAACTGCATGGGCAGCTGCCATAACCACCTCATAAACCACCTCGTTCGCTTCGCTCACACGGTGGTTTATTCGGTGGTTATGGCAGCTGCTCATGCAGTTATGACACCATATACAACTCGGGGCAGTGCATTAACCCTTTATTATCATATAGCCAGCAGACATCGACCAATCAGAAGGCTCCATTTCCCATTGGTTATCAGGCCTCCAAAGTGGTGGGTTATTAGAATAACTGACCACTTTTTGGACCATAACATTATACAGTGGACAGAATTAAACTAACAGTAGTATTATGACTTGCATATAAAAAATTATTTTGAATAAACCACTGCTACGCTCACTTGGTGGTTTATTCACACCTGACCAGGAATTATCTCACTGACATTATACACCGTGGGGCAGGGCATTAACACTTTAGTAACTGATTGTTCTCCTTTTCTGTGAACTTGAAGGTAATTTTGCGCCGACCATCATTGCCCCAACTGAGATCCATGCAGAAGTTGGATATCCTGTCAGTCTCACCATTGAGGTGTCAGATCCAAACCCAGGGGATGTCCTCAACATTACAGTGGAGGTTAGTGTGGATATACATACATGCCACGAGTACGCTTTTTTTTTTCTTGCAAAATCTCATAATCTATGATTTGTTTTCCAGTGATAAGTCCACACCCATTTGATTTGTAACAGTTGTTTCTCATATTTTTTCTGGAAAAATGAAGGTATAGGGCAAAATGAAAATAAATAAAAAGCAGGCCTAGGCATTCTCTTACATGTATAATCCCAAATGCTGCAATAGGAGCCATGAAGTCAACATACCAGGCTGGTTTTAATTTTTTTTTCAAACAATGAATTTTGAACTAAGATATTGTAGCCGATGCAAAAGTGCCAACTACATCGGCTACATATAGCGGCGAGAAGCAGAACTCCAGTCAGAAGCTCTGAGGAAGGTGTCTGATAGACAACATAAGCAAAGTAGGAATAATAGTTTGGTTGTGTAAAATAAAACCCCTATATCCAGGAAATTGATGGTCTTTTCCTTATATTATAATATAGGGAGGAGAATTTACAAGCTTCCTCTACACTGAAGATGGCACCGTTAGAGCAACGTTTACTTGGACCCCAACTGTGTATGATCTACAGGCTGCTACGACTATCCGATTTAAAGGTACCTTTAACCAAACTATCTAACTTACATTCAACTTTAGCATCTCAGCAGCATGTCGGCAGAACGTACTGTGCCTGCCTGAAACCCTTCACGGTTTTTGTTGTATGTTTGGTCACCATTGCATCAGAATTTTTCCTGTTGCAGAAGACATCTTTACATAACATTTGGAAACTACATGGAATTTTTTAACCTTATATGCGTGAATACGGCTTTATATGAGATGTTCTGCCAAAGTGAGCAGTGCACAATACATTTGCTTGGGCAAGTTGGACTGTAACTAATACGACATGCCATGTTATGACTTATGTTTGCTAAAACTGCTTTCAGCTGTGGACGACAAAGGAGCCGTGACGGTAGCTAGTCCCCAGACCATCCTCTGCTACTGCAGCGGTTACGGCACATGTGACTACAGCAGCCTGAGCTACAGACAGTTCATGTTCGGCCAGGCAGTCTGCTTCTGCAAACCAGCATTCATCGGGGACATGTGTGAGCAGCAGATCGACATGTGCCAGTTCCAACCCTGTTATCCAGGTCAGTAGTTACACACTCTGGTGTAATAGCGGGTGCTTTAACCTTGTATTATATTATAGTGCTGACAGTCTGTTCATTTCCTTGGAAACCCAGACCTCGGGGATCAAACTTTTAACAACCACTGTTGCCTTCATCAGCTATTGTACAGTGTACATTCTATTGTGGACACTGCATTTATGCAATTTTTTGTGACATGCTTGACAAGTTTTACCTTCGTCCTTGTATAATTATGTAGGAGGGCGCTGCATCCCTGACCCCAACGGAGATGCCGGGTACATCTGTAACAACCAGTGTCCAGAGGGGCTGACTGGAGATGGGCAGAACTGTGAAGGTGATTCACTTCTTTAAACAAGTCTTCTGCAAATATTGCTCCAAGACTTGTATCCTGATTTTGAGGGGAATGAACATCTATCCTAAAGTAGGGGAACTCCATTGCAGAAATACAAGGAACTTTGAAACTCAAAAATAACTAGAAAAGTAACATTTGCAAAGCAAATGCATAATGTTACCTTCAGATGTGGTCTGCTTCGTTAATTCTTTAATACTGAAACAATACTCAAAATAATTCACATATATGTATATCGATGACAGGAGTCTAAATGCCTACTATGAGATTGCAAGTTTTGCAACATTATGTAACCAAACACCAGTTACTATGGTGACAGACGTCAACAAAAGAGGCCATTTGCCAGGTCAGAGGTTAGTGTTTGGAGAAGAAGAAATGGAGGAAAAACAATATGTTTTCCTTCGGTAAACATAATTATGGACTCAAGATCAACCCTTATATCTGCAGCAAGTTTTCTTGAAGGTTAACTGAAGATCAGCTTGATCTGCACTACATGATCTGTACATGAAAATTGTTTTTGTGATGTTTTAAATATCATGTTTATCTAAGACGTCAAAAGTCTTGTCTTTTTTGAGACTGAGAGAAGAGATTGAGTTCACATCCCAGCTGTTGTCAGTCTCCTAACATGCATATTACTATAAAGGGTCACAGTCCCTAGGATGGGAAATTAAGCTGTCATCCACTGTTCATTGCAAATACAAATTTATTACCCCTAGACTTGATTTCAAAGCTTGAAAAGATAGATAGATATTTTCAATGAACCTGTAAATAGTGAACATACTGTAGCATCTGTCTTCTCTCTCATAACCAGTGTGAGATTAGTTCTTCAGTGAGCAGCTCTTCGGTGAGCTGAAACTTTTCTTTCTTCATGGACCCTCATGCATGTATGATGGTTGTGGTATCATTGTCAGATCGAGATGAGTGTCTGGAGGTAGACAGTGAAACTGGCCAGCCCACCCACGGTTGTGAGCAGGACTGTGTCAACTACCCAGGGAGCTATGCTTGCACCTGTCAGGAAGGCTACAGGATTGCTGGAGACAGCCGCAACAGATGTGAAAGTCAGTACCATAAACATTACAGCTTTCCTACAGGCCAGAGGCAACAGCACAACGCATGCATTATGGAGAAGAGTGGATTCATTCCTCAAGCTAACCGACGTCTAGCACATCACAGTCGTAACTCAGTAAGACATCTGGAGCTGCATAGTTCCCTTTTAGAACTTCAGCCTGCCACACTATTTTAGCCTCTGTACATTCTAAGAAGCCCACAGGGCGAAATTGGTCTCGTGACAGATGCGGGAACTATGCGGCTCCAGATCTCTTACTGAGATATGCTAGATCTGGTTAGCTTGAGGAATGAATCATTTTATGATAAAGCTTCAAACTTTGACTTGGATGTACATTGATATCATTTTTATTAGATATTTTTTTCTAAAGGTATTAATGGATTAGTGATGTGTCATTTTGTCATGCTGACCCCTCATCCAGCAAGATGGAAAAAATGCTCGGTCTAACAATGTGTTATCTTTTTCCAGATATAAATGAATGTGAAAGCCCAGACCTGTACACCTGTCCGGCTCACCTGGTCTGTGTGGACACCACACCTGGCTACAGGTGCGGCTGTGGATCTGGCCATCACATGGACCGCTACGGCAGATGTGTAGGTGAGCATTCAACAGCTACCTGTGCAAAGAGACATTGCAGGGTACTTGTACTTTTGTTGGAAATCTTTAAGGCAAAAAGCATCTAAAACACCTTTCATTTCAGCACCAGGGTCAGTACCAAGGATGGCTGAAATACCAGCTAATGGATTTCAGTGAAAAATTTGACAATGTATGATATATATTACGAGACTTTGGAGACCTCAGACTTCCATCTTGTGTGATGGTGGCTGTGTCCCCTTCTCATTCACCATGGTGTCTTTCTTTATTTTTGCAAGGTAAAAACAACACCAGCTGTCAAGGTCATGTAATGAAAACACCAAGTGCTACCGGATCCAAATGGGATTAATGACTTTCTTCCTCTGGGCCTTACTGAACCCAACCATATCCCTTACAACCTAACCTAAGGACCATGCAGAAAGTAACACAGACACACACGTGGACACACGCACACACTTATCAAAAGCAATACCGCCATTTTTCATGGAGGTAAAAATAGGTACCAGTATTAAAGCTGTGTAAGCTGTTGTAACTTGAATAATCTAAACTGAAACCCCACCTTAGCCAGAGACTGGGTTTACTTATGTCATATTTTACCGTTTCCAGACACTGATGAGTGCCTTGTGGACAATGGTGGGTGCCAGAAGCTCTGTGTCAACACTGCTGGCAGCTACCACTGTGAATGCGGGGGTGACTATGTCTTGGCAGAGGATGGAATGGCCTGCATAGGTGTTTTATACTTTGCAGTTTATCAAAGGCTTGTGCTTGTACAAGTATGTATACCATTAACATGTGACTACATTGTCCAGGCCAAGCCAGATACATAGTTTAATAGATCACACTTACAGTGTTCTAGCAAGTGTCTTTCTGTCATTTGACAAAGTTTTGCTGCGCATGACAGACAAAATATTTCATCATCTTTGACAAAAATCTTTGAAAAAAAGGTTTGAAAATTTTCCTTTATATATATAGGCCCCTCTAGAATTGTTGCAACTCAAAATTGTTGCAGTCAAACATTATTGAGAATCTGATAATGGAAAAACAGTTCAGGCAGGGTAGAACACTGTCCAATACCTTTCATCAGTGACAGAAAATGTCTTTCTCCTTGTTGTCCAGACACCAACCCTTGTGAGGGGCAGAACGAGTGTAACCAGACCTGTGTGGATAAGCAAGGCTGGCACCACTGTGACTGTCTGGAACCTTACCACCTCCTGGGAGATGGGGTAACTTGTGCTGGTAAGAGTGTAATATATTTTGATATTCATTCAATATAGATTTACCACTTTTGTGGAAGGAGTGATATAACAGGGTCCTTTCTTGTGTGTTAGCCAATGAGACAAGTGCAAAGTCATGTGATGAAGTTCTTTTTGTGCTTCAGCCAATGATACAAGTGCAAAGTCATGTGATGAGGTTCCTTTTTATGTTTCAGCCAATGAGACAAGTGCAAGGTCATGTGATGAGGTTCCTTTTCGTTTCAGCCAATGAGAAAAGTGTAAGGTCATGTGATGAGGTTCCTTGTTTATATGTTTCAGTCAATGAGACAAGTGCAAGGTCATGTGAATTGTGATAAGGTTCCTTTTTTGTTTCAGCCAATGAGACAAGTGTAAGGTCATGTGATGAGGTTCCTTGTTTTCTGTATGTTTCAGCCAATGAGACATGTAATTCACAATGGTGCACTCCCAAGGATGTTGCTATTTGCTCCAAAATTGATGAAGCATTTTGGTGCCACTGCCCCAGAGGATACAGGAAGCAAAACAACAATTGTGAAGGTAGGAAAGGTGTTTGTTTTTTTCTCCTGCTTGACCTATTGCTGTGCTTTTTATGTGATGTTTGCTTACATAATGTATGTGAAATGCTGACTAGTGGTTGTCTCTTTTCAGACATCAATGAGTGTATTGAAGGCACCAGTCGGTGCAGCCAGAGATGTGTGAACCAGCCGGGATATTACACCTGTGAGTGTGTGGCTGGGTACAGGCTGGCTGCTGATGGAAGGACCTGCCTTGGTAAGTCATGTCATGGTCGGGAGGATTTTGAATTTTCTTTAGTCCTTAATCATTTTGGACCAGTATTCTAGCCAGCATCCATCATAGAACATATTTTTATGCCACCATGCCACCAACACAGATGCCAATACTCATTTTCAACTAAGTAAAGTTAAGAAAGTTGTGTAAAGTGGGACCTCTTGGTTCTGAGACAAACACTCTGCTTTTCTTGTAAAGATTCTTGTTCCTTCACTGGCGTGCTAAAATGATTGAGATGATGGAAAACATTTCAGGCTGCTTAGAACACTGTTTTAGCCCCAGTGCAAGGCATTCTACTTGATGAAAAATAAACATTTTGTACCGCACTATAACTACAGAGGTTGATGAGTGTGAGGACAACAACGGAGGCTGTGAAGACATATGTGAGAACTATCCTGGCGGCTTCCGCTGTGCCTGCGGCCCGGGCTATGACATGACACCCACCGACTACACACCCAGCTATGAGCCTGCTCCTACCGGACTGTGCCATGGTAAGGAATGTCATATTGCATATCTTTTAAAGAAGGTACAAGATTGTTTACAGTGAAACATAGTTGCCAGCCCGCTTTTCAATAATGACGTTACCAAACTGCTATCATGACAGTCCTTTTATCATGTAAATTCATAGAATAAAGATTAGTTTTTAATGCAATCATTACTTTTTAGTACAAAAATGTATTACTAAATGAATGAAGGATTGAATGGTTTCTGAAATAAAACATTGCGGCCTAATGGCTGAAGTACATTTTACTTAGTAATACTGTCATCAGTTTTGAAATACACACAACTCAATTCCACAGACTGAAACATTCAAATATTATTTTATTTTGTCTACTATGACAAGTGAATTTTCTCTTACAGATGTGGATGAATGCCTTTACAACATGCACATGTGTGGTCCGCATGCCACGTGCACCAACACGATTGGCAGCTACACCTGCAGCTGCGAAGCTGGCTTCCAGCTGCAGTCGGATGGTGTCACCTGCTTAGGTAACCAACAACTACAAACTGTTACTGTAACAGTGGTACATGTGTAAG